AAAGGAAGATGAAACCGAATGGTTCCATCGAGAAGTATAAGGCTAGGCTTGTAATCAAGGGTTACAGGCAACGCGAGGGCCTCGATTACTTCGACACGTATTCTCCCGTGACGAGAATAAACTCCATTAGGATGATACTTGCTATAGCCGCGTTGCAGAACTTGGAAGTTCATCAAATGGATGTGAAAACCGCTTTCCTAAATGGCGAATTAGATGAGGAAATCTATATGGAACAACCCGAAGGGTTCGTGGTTCCGGGCCAAGAAAGGAAAGTGTGTAAATTGGTTAAATCGCTCTATGGTTTAAAACAAGCGCCTAAGCAGTGGCACGAGAAGTTTGACCATGCGATGTTAACTAACGGGTTTAAAATAAACGAAAGTGACAAATGTGTCTACGTTAAGGAAACGATAGACGGCTACGTCATTCTTTGTTTATATGTCGATGATATTCTCATCGTTGGTAGTAATGATCGGATGATCAAGTCTACCAAGAACATGTTAAATGCGAGATTTGACATGAAGGATATGGGTTTGGCTGATTTAATCCTCGGGATTAGAATCATTAGAAGACCTTATGGTCTCGTGTTGAGCCAATTACATTATATTGACAAAATCCTTGAGAAATTTAACAAGGATGATAGTCAAGTGGCTAGGACACCATTTGATACAAATATTCACCTAACCAAGAACCACGGAGAAGGTATTTCACAAGTGGAATATGCTCGGGTTATTGGTAGTCTGATGTATCTTATGAGTTGTACTAGGCCGGATATTGCCTATGCGGTTAGTAAACTCAGTAGATATACGAGTAACCCCGGTGCTATGCACTGGAAGGCAATAGTAAAGGTTATGAGATACTTGAGGTATACTCGTGATCTTAGACTGCACTACGGGAGATATCCCGCTGTACTTGAAGGGTATAGCGACGCGAATTGGATATCTGATATTAAGGACTCTAAGTCCACGAGTGGCTACGTGTTTACACTAGCTGGTGCAGCCGTTGCGTAGAAATCCTCTAAGCAAACTATGATAGCTAGATCCACGATGGAATCTGAGCTAATAGCCTTGGACAAAGGTTGTGAAGAGGCTGAATGGCTACGCCATTTTATAGAGGATATTCCTAATTGGGAAAGACCGGTACCTCCAATATGTGTGCATTGCGATAGTCAAGCCACAATCGGGAGAGTACAGAGTCATATGTATAATGGTAAGTCTAGACATGTGCGTCGTAGACATAATACCATTAGACAACTGCTCACAACTGGTGTTGTCTCGATTGACTACGTAAAGTCAAAAGACAATATAGCGGATCCGCTGACCAAAGGGTTAGGAAGAGAAGTTGTGGAGAAGTTGACACGAGGAATGGGTCTAATGCCCTTGGACTAAAAAGTTCTATAGTGGATACCCAACCTAGCTGGCACCTAGGTTCAATGGGACAACTAAATTATGGAACGGAGCGCGTCACTGTGGGGGTCTCGGACTCCCTACCACTCCTCGTTAAAACAGTGACTCCCGCAAGAGGCTAGCATGTTAATGCTTTAATGATTCTTGAGTATGCGGGATACTCGAGAAAGAATCACCTATGTTAGAGAGAAGTGAGGGTCGCTTCAAAGGAGAATTGTTGGGCACAATTCTTTAGAAACTCTCGCAGAACCAGGAACGGTGACCCATGACCAAAACGGGCACACTCGTGAGAGCAAGAGCATGGTTGGGAGATTCCTGTGTGAGATATGTCATCGTCTACACAAACGGCAGTCGGTTCAAAGACATCGCGTTCTACCGTACAGCCAGTAGAGTAAACATGTCTTCACAAGGGAAGGTTCAAAGGGTATAGTGACTCCCTACCTATCCTATGCAGGGATCGACCGTTTGAACACAGTTGTTTCTGATTTCAAAATACCCCGAAAATCAATCTTCATTCATGTGGGGGATTGTTGGAAAAAATAGCTTAAAATGGCATAAAATGGCATGTTAAGTGGCTATTTTGTGGTACAATTATCAGTGGGGTCCACTTCCGATTTGGGTCGGGTCAAAGTGGATTCGGATTCTTCGTAGTAAGATGAAGAGATCGATATATTGTACGCTCAAAATGAATAATGGGTGAATGAGATATTGATTCTCAAAGTAGACCCATTGAGTTGGAAAAATGAAGGGAAAAAGTGAGCTTTGTCCCACATTGGTTTGGAATGAGGATTTTCTCCCCTTAAATACAAGAGCTCTTTTGAAGCTTGTAGAATTGTATAGCATAGAGGCTCTCTCGCGCGGGAGGGGGGGGGGGGGTGTGCAAATCAAATTCCAACTAGACGAGATTGAAAAAGGCTTGATTCAAGCCCGAGCTAAATTGGCTGGCCTTGCGCGGGCTAAGTTATGCCAAACTTCGGTACCATTTTTCCAACACAGAGAGCCACTAGGCCGAAACTTCGGCCACCTGAGGGCTTGGCCGAAACTTGCAAGTTTCGGCCTGCTAGCCGAAAGTTCGGCCTTTGCCATGGCCGAACTGAAGCTCCTGGTGTGACCGTTGGGGTCTTAATTCAGCCGTTATGGAGTTAATTTTTTGAATTAATTCTAATTTTAATTTTGAATTAAGACTCAGGTTAATGGTTGCTGTTACCAGGAGTAGTGGGGAGTCTTTTAAAGTGCCCTATTAAAAGCGATTTAATCCTTCAACCCTATATAAGAGAGGGTAGAGGCAGTAGAGTTTTATACACAGAAAATAGAACACGAAAGTTCATCTTTTAGCCCCAAAACCTCTCTGCTTCTACTCCTTCTTTAGCTATATTGTGTTCATAGCCATTGTCTTGCTCGCCGGATTCTTTGTTTGAATGCTCAAACATTGAATCATAGCAAGTTTTATCCTGGGAAGCCTAGGCCACAACGCTCCTAGCATCTTCGGGAGGTGGCAAATAAGGTTTTAAGAAAAGAGTGCTCACTTGACTCTTGCAAAATCCAACACCAAACACTAGCCAATTTCTTCATCTATTCTTCCTACTTTCCAGAAAATAATAATCATTTTTATTTGATTATTATTTGTTTTTCCTACCAACGGTACCAACAATGATTACATTCATTATCATCTTCTTTTACTTATCACCATCTTCTATATTTTCTACTCGCATTTACTTATATAAACATAATTTATTTGCTTAAGTTTTTTTTTTTTTTTTTTTTTTTTTTTTTTTTTTTTTTTTTTTTTTTAAGAATTTGCTTAAGCTTAAAATTACACATTATCACAATTAAAACATGAGCCAAGTTTTAGATTTTTATTGAACTCAATATATTATTGGTTCAGATATTTTCAATTATATTATATTGTAATATAAGTTTGGTCCGAATATCAGATATTAAAATTTCACATATATTAGACGTCAAAGTAAAAATTATATCTACACATTTCACTCAACTGAATATATTTAAAAATATTTTAAATATTACTTCAAAACCTGAAAATTTAAGTGAACTTAATAAATTTTTAGTTCAGATACATTTTTAGCTATATTATATACATTGATTTGGATATAAAGTATAAAATTATATATATATATATATATATATATATATATATATATATATATATATATATATATATATATATATATATTGGACATATATTTATTATATTTAAATCAAACATATTTAAAAATATTTTAAATATAACGTTTAAAAAACACACAAAATTACACGTATGTTAATTTTTTTATAATATTAGTCTAAAAAACATTTAAATGTGTGTTAGTAAACAATCCTCTAAACTGAAATTAAAAAAAGAGAATAGAAAACAAAAAATGAAAATTAAAAAAATAGAAAACAGAAAATAGAGAACAATTTCTTGAAATAAACGGGTCCACAATGTTTCTCAAGCTCAATCTTTTAGGCAATTTATATCCTACACCACGGCGCGCGTTGCACTGTGCGCCCAGATGCAAAACGACGTCGTTTTAATTTTTTTTTTTTTTTTGAAATTTCCCGCCCAGTGAATGGCAGTAATTTTTTCTTTAAAAAAAACCCGTTGTTCAAAAATGTACATAATGTTATACTAGAATACACATAATTGTATACATGAATGTACATAATTATATAACAAAATATACATACTCTTTTTAAAAGATAATACACATAATCTAACATAATACATAATAAACATAAACTTTTAACATAATACACATCAACTCTTAACATAATACACACAAATTTTCTGATTCGGATGTACATAATTGTATAAAAAGAATGTATATAACTGTATGAACAAATACACATAATCACAGCAACTTCCATGAATGTACATAATTATATAACAAAATATACATACTCTTTTTAAAATATAATACACATAATACATAAACTCTTAACATAATAAACACAAATTTTCTGATTCGGATGTACTTCTTACCGCGCCGTGGTGTAGGGTATAACGATTGAATCTTTTAGTTAATTATTTTTTAAATCACTTTCTCAACCTACTGAAACACAAAGAGCATATAAAGAGCTAATAACGCCTCCACTGAGACTCAAACTCACAACACCTTCCTAATGAAAGTCTAACCCGGATACCATTGGACCACATAATCCTAGTATGTTTTACCATTATCTTATTTATTTATTTATTTTAATTTTGAAATTTATTGAATTCCATAAAAATAGATTAAGGGTATTAAAATAAAATAATCATTATAACATAAAAATTAACTCTCCAACCAATTATGTTCATATTATATACTTCATTTTTAACAAAAAAAACGAATCTAACATTCTCAATAATTTAACGTATCATAATTTAATCTAACATTTCATGAACCAAACGTTTCTAAAAATATTTTTTTTTTAAACCTTGTGCTCAGATGACATGTACTGACTTTCCCATTCGATGTTGACTATTTGTGCTTCAACAAGTTTTGTTTTGTTTTTTTTTTTTAAACTATCAAAGGACTTATGAGGCCACAATTTGAAGTTTTGAAAGAATACAGGGGTTAAAATATAAGTTTGGCTAGACTGATTTCATTTCGTTATCTACCAGCCACTCAACTTCCAACCTCTGGTACTAACAGATTCTGCTGGAAACGAAAATGGCTTCAACACCTCTGCTTCTCCCACATGGTAAGATTATCAGAAAACCCGTTTCGATAACCTTGTTGTATTGATCATTGATGCTGCAAGGTTTGACAAATGACAAGTACTGTGTATTTTCTTGTACGGTTCAGCATTTGCTAAAGGGTTATCTACCAATCATCAAAGAATATCCAAAGCCCAGTTTCAGTGTTTCTTGATGAAGGCCTCAGAGAATGGTGGGAACGGGAAAGAGCTCGCATTGATTAAGCGAAGGGAGCTAATTGGGTTGGGTCTGGGTGCTTCTGCGGGGTTCTTAATGGGTTTATCTAGTGCCCAAGCAGCCGGATTGCCCCCTGAGGAAAAGCCCAGATTGTGCGACGATTCTTGTGAGAAAGAGCTTGAAAATGTATGATGAGGTTATATAGCTCCCTCAATCTTCACATTATTTTATTTATTTATTGGTTGCATTTCATTCTGCGAGAGCTGTTTTGTGTGTCAAAAAAAAGGGTACAGTGAAAGTTGAAGAATCTTGAAAGAAATCAATAATTTTTTACAGGAAATCTCACTTTCCCACAGTATAATTCCAACATTTATGAAAATATATTAACTCATTATTCCTTGTTATTCTTCATTGTTCATTTGTTTGTGAACCTGTTATCATTCATTGTTTGTTAATACATGCTCTTTTGGTAGCAAAATGTTAGGATCAAGTGCTTACCACTTACGTCAAAAGTTAATTTGGCCTTTACCGGCTTCCGCCCAACACCAACTTGAACCAGTGACCTGGCTCTGGTACCATTTATTTGATAAGCACTTACCATTTATGCCAAAAGCTATAACTAGTAGCTAAAGCGCAACTTTATTTTCTTATACTGTCACACATTTTCGAGACGTTGGGTGTTGGGCTTGGCCCTTTAAGCCCTTTACCAGCCTCCGCCCAACAATCCCCGGTGCTAGACTTGGCCTTTACCGGCCTCCGCCCAACACAAAATAGTGTTGGATTTCCTTCACTTGAGGTTTGACTTTTGAGTTGTTCTTGAGGTGTAAATGTTAATCAAATGGTGTGAATTTAACGAGAAAATATGGAACAAGGCTATTGTTATGGATTTGCCAAGATGAAATAGCTATTGCTGTATTTCATGGTTTCTCAAATTGTCTTTTGGTGTACAAAATCTGATTCATTCTACTTCCTTTATACTTCTTGTTATTGTTTAATAGTTCATGTTCTTAGAAGTCTATATTTGTAGAGACATTTCCTATCTCCTCTACTAATGCTTATGGATGTTTGCATCATTTTGTGATGCAAAAGTTTACTCAGAGTGTTATTCTCTAACTGAAATGCAATAAACTAAAACTGGAATCTTCTGGTTAATTAAGGTCCCTATGGTAACTACTGAGTCCGGTTTGCAATACAAGGACATCAAAGTTGGAGGCGGCCCTAGCCCCCCTGTTGGGTTTCAGGTACATTCCCTCATTGCTGAAATCTTCAATCCATTACTGACAGTTTGGAAATCATGCATCCTGTGAACCAAACAGGTTAGGAAATTGCCGCATGTAAAATGAATAAGTTTATTCAGCAACATTGCCTGAACTATCCCAAAAGGGAACTGAATGAAGAAATGGAGCCTGTATACCCGATTCCAACCACTTTTGGATTAAGGCCTACTTGAGTTGCGACTTAGGGCCTGGCAGCATGTATAGTTTTTCAGGGTCCAGATAATTCTACTTTCTTTGCTGATACCATATCCAATTAATAACGACAGGTAGCTGCTAATTATGTTGCCATGGTACCATCTGGACAAATCTTTGATAGGTAATGTTACATCACCTACGTTCAGTGGCCATTACAATTATCATCATTTTCCAAGCTAGCTAATATGCAAATAGACCTATATAATAAGCTTCGCATCTTCTGTTCTTTCTGATTTCCTATACTTAACCATTTCCTGATTTTCAAGTTAACAGTTCTCTGGAGAAAGGTCAACTTTATATTTTTCGAGTGGGTTCTGGTCAGGTAAAACTCCATTGGATTGTTTAAATCTATTTATATTTTGGAATATATGTGTGTATGCAGCTGCTCAACGCATTCAAAAAACAACAATCGCTATAGTTGGCAATTAAGCAATTTTCTTTCCAGGAAACATTGCAAGGGGGATGATTTAACGAATTTCTTGTCAATTAAAGGAGCTATATTCATTAAGCGAAGCAATAATAACAAAATTCAAATGGAATGAACTATACATTGCCTTTCAATCTTCAACTGATTATTATGATGATTGTAAATAGGTGATCAAGGGACTTGATGAAGGTCTCCTATCCATGAAAGTTGGTGGAAAACGTCGACTTTACATTCCGGGATCAGTAAGTTGTGTTTGTACCTTTAAGTTTTCTCTTGCATGGATGAGATTAGAAAAGTAAGGTTAGAAAAGCAGCACATACCCCATTCCCTTTGGTAGAAGATCGAGTCATAACCCTTTCCCCTTTTGGATTACAATAAGGCTTTGGAATACTACACTATGCACATTGTTTATACACTCAAAACATACAAAATGAAAAAGCAGAAGAGAGTGTAGTGTAGGGAACACAATTCCCACTTTAAGCTTTGATCTTTATGAAAAGGAAAGCCAATAACCTCTATATAACATCACAAAGGCGGAAACCTAAAATCAGTTGGTGGTTCATCTATGATAGTAATTTGTAGAAGTCGTCTTTTATTTGGAGGTGACGAGAGAAACCTGCCGTCACTACCCAAGGGGACCACAAGGAGATGAAGGGGGTGTTTGGTAAATAGTGTTAGCTGATAGTTGATAGCTGATTGGGTTAGTGGGTTTGACTAGTTGATATCATTAGCTGATTGTGGAAAGATGTTTGGTAAATTAGCTGTTAGCTGATAGTAAAAGTTATTTTGAGCAGCTTTTTGAATTTTAGTGTTTTGGAGCAATAAGTTGTTACAAAAAACTAATTAATCAAACACTCAAGCTGTTATGAGCAGCTTTTTGAATTTTAGTGTTTTGGAACAATAAACTTTTATAAAAAGCTAATTAATCAAACACTCATATTGGTTGTTTAACCAAGTCAAACAAGCCAAAATTGGCTGATAGCTAGGCTAAATATTTTACCAAACAGGGCCAAACTACTCAAACCAAGAAGGCTAAGATTCAAACTCGTGACCTTTTAGTTACAAATTTGTATCCTTAGCCATCTTGGTTGGGGTTATCCCCTAAAAAAGTCTTTTCTTGAAAATTGAATAGATTGCTCCATATAAATGAAGCTTTATGTAAGTTGTGGTGAATCTTAGCTTGTAAAGTATATATTGTTTCTCCACTCTAAATCTGTGTTGCCTTGTTATATAGTTGGCATTCCCAAAAGGTCTGACATCAGCCCCTGGAAGGCCAAGAGTGGCTCCTAACAGCCCAGTTGTATTTGATGTGAGTTTGGAGTATATACCAGGCCTTGAAGATGAGGAAGAGTAATTAATTAGTTTGTTCTCCAATCTTAGAAACTTGAGAAGAAGAAGATTGAGGCTCATTGTTCACACTTGTATACTTACATTACTTCATTCTTTATACAATGATATGATAGAGCAAAGTTTTCTATTATATACTTGCATATATGGAATGAAAAGTTTATTAAATTGGATTAGTGAATTATAGATTAAACATTTACTTTTTATTATATGTTTGTTAAAATAAAAGGGGAAATTACATTTTTGGTCCTTAAGTTATACCCGTGATATAGGTTTAGTTTCTGAATTTTAAATGTGACAGCCTTTAACCTCTTAGTTATGCGCGAATTAACGATTTTAGTCTCTCAGAGTTTATTTCTGTCACCAATTTGTCATTTAATAAAGTGGTTGATTTGGTCATTCAGGGGCTAAAATTACCATTTTGCGCATAACTTAAATAGTTAAAGATGATTACACATATAACTCAAAGATTAAGTCTATATCAGAGGTGTATATATATATATATATATATATATATATATATATATATATATATATATATATATATATATATATATATATATAACTAGATGACTAAAAATGCAAGTTTTACAAAGGCCCTATTTGGTAAAATAGTTAGTTTATAGGCCAATTTTGACTTATTTGACCACTATTAGTTGTTTGACTTGGTTTAAAAATCAATATAAATTTTTGGTTAATTAGCTTTTTGTACTCTAAAATGCTAAAATTCAAAAAGCTACTCAAAGCAACTTTTTCAATGAACTTTTTGAGAAAAGAAATTATACAAAACAGCTATCAGCTACTAGCTAATTTATCAAACACATTTCTACAATCAACTAATATTATCAACTAGTTATACCCTCTAATTAACACAATAAGCTAACAGCTATTAGCAAACAGGGCCAAAATGAAATTATAAATTGTTTATCACTAGAAGGGATTAAGGATGTTAAAGCAGTTAAACCCTTCATCTTTGAGTGGCTTTTCTTATAATATAAAAACTAGTTACAAGCGCATACTTTGCTGTTGTACCAAATAAAAAATATTTATATAATTAACTCATAAAATCAAATAAATAAATCAATTAAAATTTGAGAAACGCTAATTAACAAAGACTTTGCAATAATTGAGCGCAACAACAAACAAAAAGTAAAGAATGTAACAAACAAAAAATATTCGAGTGTAGTAAGTGCTTGTAGATGGTTCATTACGAACTATATTTGTTAATATAGTATGGAATATCGAATATTGTAGAATAAACCGTTATATATATATATATTGAAAAGAACCGTTATTTTATTTGTGAACCCTGTAAAGAAGAAATATTTATATTTAAATGAACATTAAGAATGGGTAGACATAAAATAATATTTTTCTAGAAATATATAGCAATTGGTGGTATAAGTTTTGATATAGATATGGTGTGTGGGTGCAGTCCATTGGATGGAGGTTGCATTATACTGTCAAATCTAATATACCATGGCAAATTACACTATGGAATACTATTTGTAATGTATTGAAGTCTTGAAGTTACATTTTTAATAGTATATTTAAAATTAAACTTTCAATACAGTAAAACTGAAATTTTAGAAAAAGAACATTCAATGTACTAAAATGAATCTTCAATATTTTAAAAATTAATTTTGGCCCTGTTTGGTAAAAAAATTGGCCTATAGACCAATTTTGACTTATTTGACCACTATTAATTGTTTGATTTAGTTAAAATATCAATAGAAATGTTTGGTTAATTAGCTTTTTGCAACTCCAAAAGGCTAAAATTCAAAAAGCTACTCCAAACAACTTTTTCAATTAGCTTTTTGAGAAAAGAAATTATATCAAACAGCTATCAGCTAACAGCTAATTTACCAAACATTTTTCTACAATCATCTAATGTTATCAACTATTTATACCTTTTAATTAACACAATCAGCTAACAGCAAACAGCTATCAGCTAACAACCATTTTACCAAACAGGACCTTTTATGTCAGTGATTCACCTTGTCAAAGGTGAACCATGGTTCATGATATAATGGTTGATGTGACATCTTCATCAATAATATCTTGTTTACTTGTTTAGTAGCATTGTTATTTTTTAGATTAATTAAAATCGGATATTAATTCTTTAATGAATGTGTATTTATTTATAACAATAATACACGCATTGCACAATTAAATTAATGCTCAATATAAAATTAAAATAATTAAATAATTTAATATATTTTTTAAATATAAAAAGTTAATTAATATAAAATAAAAATTTAAAATGTGCAAGTTATCAATGCACTTTATTACACCAACATACTTTATCGATTCTTATATAACGGGAAAGAAATTATAATCCCACCCTCCTCTTAACGCTAGAGCCACACTCATTTTACCTAATTCTAAACCGATAAAAGTAATGATTACTTTTTTGGATGACTAGGGAAACTCACATTCATTACTTGATAATTTGAACTGGGTAAAACTGTCTTATGATCCTAGCTAGCAAAGAATTAAAATGAGGTAAATCAATTTAGGTTGTTCATAGTTGGCTGACTCAAATTAAGAAAGTCAATATGCCCTAAAACTTATAATCTTATGATTACTAAGTTAACATTTTAACCAACTTTGTTAGAGTTGTCCCTAAAGTAGTGAAATGTCAACGCTGCACGTTAGACACTTTTGATATTATTTTTAGTGGCTAAATATGTTTTTATGTGTTATGATGAATTAATTTGTTTAGTGAAGTGTTACCTAAGAAGTGGTAGTTAACTCAAAACTCCATGTGCAAGCGACTTGTACTTGTCTTGTCTATATGTCAATTTAGTTTTATTATCTGGTGTTAAAGACCACATCAAACGCCAAAATGCACAATCAAATACTAATAAGTACTAATGTGATGTTTGGTTCAAAAAATAAAAATAAAGGGAATGGAATAGAATTCTAACATGAATGGAATAAGAAAGGAATACAATAGGAATACTAGCATGATGTTTGGTTCGAAGGAGAATAAACAAAGAATTATAAGAGTAATCATATTTTTGTGTTTAGTTGTACCAAGAAATAGAAAAAAAAATATCATTTAAAAAACTAAAATACCCTCATTCAAAATAAAACACATACAAATATATACATCTTCACTCGCCATAAAATAACAAAAAAATACAAAACATACATACAGGGGCGGACCTAGTGTGGGGGCAGGTGCCCCACTCAACCCACCCTTACCCCATATATAACCCTTGTATGTATATATGTATGTATATATAGTACAAGATTTAGTATAAGTAAAAGAAAACAGCTAATATTAAAATAATAAAAGTTAGCCTAGTTGGTAGAGAATGCGTGTTTGCTTATGGAAGGTCAGGGGTTCAATTCCATCTAATCACACAAACGCATATTCTAGGTCAAAGTACTTACGAGACCCTTATACTATAGTTTAAAAAGTAAAACAATTAAGGACAATAGTTTTGATGTGCCGTTGACATTATCTCTGTCACGTCATCATATTTACATGCCAACTCATATATTATTTTATAAATATTTAAAATTAATTATTTTTACCACTAATATATTACATTTATATGTCTAAAATAAATACATAAATATTTGCTCACATAAGCTATTGTCCTTAACTGTTTCAATTTTTAAAGTATAGAGACTAAATTAAATAAAATTAAAGTAGAAGAATTAATTAATTGAACAAAACACTATAGTACAAGGATCTTATAGGTACTTTGACCCATATTCTATGGCTGCTATTTGAATAACAATTGTGTGTGTGTGTGTGTGTGTATATATATATATATATATATATATATATATATATATATATATACACACACACACACACACTTTTATATCAATAACAAGATGTGTTCATATTTAACAATATTTATGACTAACTTCAGATGTGTAATTTATAATGTATTTTCTATTCATAATAAAATGTGTAATTTATAATGTGTTTTCTATTAGAATTATTTTATCAAATTAATTATATTTCGTATTTTGTTATAAATATATATATTTTTTTATTTTGTGCTCATTTCTAATAATATTTATGGCTAACTTCTTAATTGTTTCATCTTTTTTTAAGCTATCCTTTTTGTTTTAATGTTTCGCCTCCACTGAACAAAATTTCTGGATCCGACACTGCATACATAATCAAATTTATAATATTATTTCAAAAGAAATTCTTAATATAAAGATATTGAATAACAAAACAATACTACCGAAAATAAAACAATACATTATTGTACACAAATTGAGGGTGTGTTTGGTTGGTGGGTTTTGCCCATAGGAATGGGTATGAAAGTGATTGTTGTTGTTTGGTTAATAGGTTTTTAGAACACTACTATGCGTTTCGAATACCCCATCAATTGAAAAATCCATACCCAAATAAAATAAGGGTTTCATTCCCTTATTCATTCTCAAGCACTACTATTAGTAACCATTCTCATTCCACCTTACTACCAAACATGTTAAATACTTTCACCAAAACCCATTACCATTACCAAGTATTTGATACCCATTCCGATTCCGATTCCTATGTGCGAACTAAACACACCCTAAGTTTCTCCAGTTGAGTTTGTGTACCACATGTGTACACACACACACATGCATATATACATGCACAAAATTTAGAGGGAAAAAAAAAACATTGAAATAGATAAATATATAAGAACATATGGAACTAAAAAAAAAAATCAAGACTATGTGGTCTAATGGTACTTGAGTTGAATTTTTATTTGGAAGGTTGTGAGTTCGAGCCTCAGTAGAGGCATTATTGATTCTTTGTTTTTTAGTAGGTTGAGAATACACATATTATCGATTGTACGAATGGATTATGAATAACTAATACCGAATGAGACTTTGGGAATAAGAGGATGTTTGGTTGGCATGAATTGCAATTGTTTGGTTGGAGGGAATTGCAATTCATAGGTCTCCTCTATGAATTGGAATAAGGTATGCAATTAGGCCACTGAACGAAAAAAAAGTGCAATTAGGCAACTGAACACTCCAAAAATGTGCAATTTCACCTGATAGCAGGTTATCTCGCAATTAGGCAACTGAACACTCCAAAAATGTGCAATTTCACCTGATAGCAGGTTACCCTCAATTTTAGCAGGTTATCTGTTTACGTGGCAGCTTAGTTGGCATTTTTAATAAATTTTAATTAATTTTTAATAAATTTTA